TGTTATTAATGTGTGTATGTCATGTAAGTTGTGTTATTAATGTGTGTATGTCATGTAAGTTGAGTTATTAATGTGTGTATTTCATGTACTTTTCATACACCGTTTACATATGATGCATCATACTATTATTACAATAAATAACTAACTTAAAATGTTTTTTGTTGTATTACTTTACATTGTATTTGGACATTAAAAAAATTGACTTTATTTCCGGCCATCAATTGTAGCACCTTGATTTCTGTAGATCAAATAGTATAAGAATACTAAACGTGTGAACTGATACTTGTTTATTGATTGTGTAAAACCGAAAAAGCTGTCCTTAGAGAAGTTAACGGTTGCGAAATTGATGTAAATAAAAAGTTAGAAATGAAATCCATAGTACATCTATGTATAAAATGAAAATTGATTCAGTAAACAAAGGTGCGAGTCCCAAAACTATTCTTGAGATATGATAAGTTTTTTGTGAGAAAAAAATCATCTTACTAGAAATGTAGCAACCGAAATTTGATGACATTATTTTTGTTCTTATGATAAGTTGGTTCACCACATAAACTTCAATGCGGTTTATAAAATCACATGCTTATCCAGCTGCTATTTCATCAGAATATTTGAGCTTATGTTATCTGTATATAATTTCGTCTTTATTTACTTTATTTTTTGTTATACTTTCAGTTTGACCCCAAACTGCTCGCGGTCATCGGCGGAGTCATGTGTATTGTTAGCCTCATTTTAATTGGTCCAGCTCCATTTCTACCGTTTACAGCGTAAGTTGTGAAACTTATTGAACATACGGTCCTAAATTTAAAATCCTACTATAGATTGAGAGAAGTTTGTAAGTTTGTCCTCTAACTCCTCCTAGGTTTTTGTGAAACTTATTTAACATACGGTCCTAAATTTAAAATCCTACTATAGATTGAGAGAAGTTTGTAGGTTTGTCCTCTAACTCCTCTTAGGCTTTTGTGAAACTTATTGAACATACGGTCCTAAATTTAAAATCCAACTATAGATTGAGAGAATTTGGTAGGTTTGTCCTCTAACTCCTCTTAGGCTTTTGTGAAACTTATTGAACATACGGTCCTAAATTTAAAATCCAACTATAGATTGAGAGAATTTGGTAGGTTTGTCCTCTAACTCCTCCTAGGCTTTTGTGAAACTTATTGAACATACGGTCCTAAATTTAAAATCCAACTATAGATTGAGAGAAGTTTGTAGGTTTGTCCTCTAACTCCTCTTAGGCTTTTGTGAAACTTATTGAACATACGGTCCTAAATTCAAAATCCAACTATAGATTGAGAGAAGTTTGTAGGTTTGTCCTCTAACTCCTCTTAGGCTTTTGTGAAACTTATTGAACATACGGTCCTAAATTTAAAATCCAACTATAGACTGAGAGAATTTGGTAGGTTTGTCCTCTAACTCCTCCTAGGCTTTTGCATTTGGATCTGTTATATATGGTTTAATCAACTACGAATGATTCGGGATGTGCCAAGAAGAGTTTTGTAATGCATAGATTTCATAGCTCCAATGATGGCTAAATATAGTCTAGTCTGTGGGGGGTGGCCACTAATGGCCTCTTTCATACACAGGATATACGTACAGTCTTATGTACTTTCAATCATTACTGGCATACTTAGGACAAAAACAGGAACAGTTCTTATATCCATAACTGGTAAAACATTAATTCTACAATTGTATTTTGTTTTCAAATCCTATCAATCATTTGAAGGATTTGTTTTTCACACATTGTTTACACATACTTTCAAGATACGCACATTTATATTAAGTGAAATGGTTTTCAGTCACATGTAACTTATTGCTTCTCTATAAAATGAATTATATGAATGATTTGTTAACTTTCATAGACCGTAAACCGCACGTTTCGAACTAAATTTATCGAATATGTGTTCCTAAGTTAAAAATGAAACTAATTATGTTATCAGCATGCACTTGCTTCTTTGTCAGGGTTTTAAACGCAAGATCTGTTCTGTGTGGATTACAAAAACAAAAAGTTTGAAATGTAAACGCAAGATCTGTTCTGTGTGGAATCAAGATTGTTTATATTACTAAAACAAAAAAGTTTGAAATGTAAACGCAAGATCTGTTCTGTGTGGAATCAATATTGTTTATATTACTAAAACAAAAACGTTTGAAGTATAAACGCAAGATCTATTCTGTGTGGAATCAAAATTGTTTATATTACAAAAACAAAAAAGTTTGAAGTGTAAACGCAAGATCTGTTCTGTGTGGAATCAAGATTGTTTATTTTACTAAAACAAAAACGTTTGAAGCGTAAACGCAAGATCTGTTCTGTTTGGAATCAAGATTGTTTATATATTACAAAAACAAAAAAGTTTGAAGCGTAAACGCAAGATCTGTTCTGTGTGGAATCAAGATTGTTTATATATAATAAAAACAAAAAGTTTAAAGCGTAAACGCAAGATCTGTTCTGTGTGGAACCGGGACTATTTAGTGTATGAAAGAATCATGATTTGTGAACGTAAAATTAGTGTCATATGGAATCAAAAATTTTGTGAATTAAATAGTTTTTATTTTTATTTTAAATGATATATGGACTCGTTATTATATCTGTTTGTTTATGAGTAGCTGTTACGTATAAACGTAACATAAATTCTGCAGGACATCAGGATTTCTTCAGTTGTTATGTTTTGTTTGTAAACTACAAAAACTACTAAACGTAATCTTGCTCCTGTATAAGATTCAAGATATCTACTTTTCACTTTACAGGGAACTTTGGATGGTGAGCATAAGTTTAGTTCTGTGTGGAATTGGGCTAGCAGCAAAATTTGTGTGTGCTTTTATTTCTGCTTTGAATGATGCACTGTAAGTCATGTCATTTTGTCTTTACTAATATTTAGTTATAAATACAATTGGAATGAGATAACAGTAAGTGTGAATATCGTAATATTGTTACGTAAAGGACATTTTCATCCATTCCGAGATTGAAATGAACTCTCAAATCTTGTATCACTTGTTTGAAGAATACTTTATATAAGTCTTGTCATTTTGTCTTTACTAATACATTATTTAGTTATAAAGATAATTAGAATAGCATAACAATAAGTTTAATTACTGTAATATTGTTATATTTGTTATAATATTTCTATGCAACAATAATTAATAAATAGAATCGCGCTCCTTACCTTGGATCCCAGGGTAAGTTTATGGGGGTGATGGTCAAATGCACCTGTTCGGTAAGACAAAAAATTAAGTTTGTTTGTAAATTAAG